TTTGTTTTTTCAAGACATGGTTTCTCTGTGTATTCCTAACTGTCCTGGAAGAACAGTTACTTTAGTGACTGGCTGGCCTTGAACTCACAGAGATCCTCCTGCTTCTGCCTCCAGCGTACTGGGATTAAAGCTGTGTGTCACCACTGCTTGGCTCATGTCCAAATTTTTATAGATATATATTTTTTTCTTTTTGACTGATACTCTATTTAAAGACTCACCAGAAAATTATGGCAATCACGTTCATGGGAACGCTAGCACAGGAAAAGAATAGGAAAGAAAGTCTAGACATAAAGCTCATGGTCATTGTTTTATGCTGTTGTTTATATATGAGACTGTATGATGTAACGATAAACAAATGTATATGTTCCCAGTGGATCAGAGATATAAATGCAAGATTGAAACTTTAAAAGACAATAAGAAAAATTACCTATGGATATTTAGTTGTCTCAGACTTCTCATTCACCACTGAACTGCCTGATGTGTGTCCTGAAGTTATGAGGTCGGTGAACTCTCACCCTGTTTCTTTTAAGATTGCTTTGCTTATTTTAATGTTCGTTTTGGGTTTTTTTTTGTTGTTGCTTTGTTTTTTTTATTTATTTTTTTATTTTTTAGGTTTTGCTTTTGTTTGCCCTATGCTCCCTGCTTTCCATTCAGAGAGAAGCTGCTAGCCAGTCTGTGTGACCAAGTCTGTTGTGGGAACTCATTGCGAATGCAGAGTCATGGACCTTATCTAATACCTGATGAGCCAGAAGCACAATTAAATGATTTCCCTAAGTGATCTGTGCAAACAGAGGCTGATAATTTGTAATTACTAGGTCAAATCCCATGTCTGTTATGAAGGCTTGTAGTCACCCTAAGTTATGGGGCTTCCTGGATTGTTCTAGGAGACTTTGAGGGCAGGCTTCTGAATCTCCATTCATCCATGTTGACCTTTTGACCCCAATCACCTGCTCGTCCAGTCCATACTACGCCTGGTCTTTACTTTAGGCCCTGCTGATAACAGTGGTGAAAGTTCCTACATGTATGGGAGGGGTGCAGTGAAGAAACAAGCCACTCCATGATGAGGGAGAAGGTTCTTATTGGAAGATAAGAGAGATAAAACGTTCAGAGGCATCTTGGAGAGTCCTGATTGAGGGAAACAGAAGCAGACTGGGCAAGAGCAGGACTAAGGAAGTGGGACTAGAAGAGAATAGCAAGAGAATAGCAAGCTTAGTTGGGTATGGTGAAAACCCTTGGCATTGGAAAAAGTGAATGCGTGTATGCATGCCTCTACATGTGTGCCTGTGTCTGTGTCTAGGCCTGTGTCAGTGTCTGGAGCAGCCTCAGGACAGAGGTCCGAAAGGCAAGAAAGCTAGCTGGGCTTTGAGACATATAGCAGATAGGTGTGTGTAGGTCCCAAAGGAGATCAGCATAGACACTGATATACTTCTGCTCATATATGCCAAAGGAGAGTCCTATGTCTCTTCTGCTGAAGGCAAGGGTTCTTCTCGTTTTGGCAGATGGGAAATTATTTCACAAGTTCTTGACAAATACTGCTTTTTACCTAACCACAAGAAATTCTTTTATAGTCTGGCACGAGCTGAATCTAGACTCTGTTTTGGATCAAGTCAGAGGACTGTTGCTTTTTGGGATGGGGAGGATGGAATGCCCTTTGACCTGATACTAAACTCTGTCACAGCCTTAAAGGTCTTAGATGGGGGCTTAAGGGGGACCCTGAGTTGGATGGTTGAGGAATAATTTTATTAGAAGAGAATTATTATTGCCACGGATGACGGACAGGTAGTAAACAGTGTGGCAGGATTCTGGGATCTGAATTCTGAGATCAGGTCCCAGCACAAGAAAGACAGCATAGCAGGGTCTCTGAAGAAGACTCAGAGCCATGTGGTAGAAGTAGAGGCTTTTCTTATATGGTTCTGAGGATAGAGGAGGTTTCAGAGCACAAGTCAGTAGCTAGGATCTCTCTGATTCATAGGCAGGAGGCAGAGAAGGGCAAGGGGCAGGATATGTGTCTAGCTTTGACATAAACACACTGTCCCAGATGAGAGATCCAGACATCTGAAAAATCTGTTAGCAGGAACTTGCAGACAGCGTCTGAGAAGGGAGCCTGGAGGTATCTGGAAAAGGGAAGGAGTCCCTGCCTGCATTGTGGCCTGAGCGGCAGCAGCTGAATTTTGATGTTACATCCTTCCATAGCCAGACAGTGTACAGCTCAAAATGCACGTCGCTGTTAAGTGGGGATTGCTGAACTGTGGGAGGAGTGAGGTCTCCTGAGGTTTCCCCACAGCATGGGACTGAGAGGAACCCTTCTGTCTCACTGGCCAGATGCTTCCTGCTCAGGCTTGTCTTGTTTGTCTCAGGAATGCCTGGCCTGGATGGTGCTGGATATCAAGTAGATGGCACAGTCACTGCAGGGAAGTAGAAAAATAGGTGGGAGCAGAATCCCCCCCTTCTTGGTACATAAGTTGCTTTTAAGTGCCTGTAAAATTGCCTTCACTTGGTCCCTCCGCCTAAATGTGATTTGCCGCGTGATGCTTTGCAGAAGCAGCCCCTGGTCTACACAGTTGTGTAAGAAGCTCTTACACTACACGGCATGTGGTTCTCAGTTACCAGATCAGTCACCGTCAGTCACCAAGATGACCCTTACTCATGTCTTTAGGTTCAAACCCAGGGTTCTGACAGGACAGCTCCGTTTTCTGCCCAGTCTTTCTGACTGGCTTTTTCTTCCTGTCCCCTGGGCATTGCATTTTAATTATGTTTAATTCTCTGATTCACTGGCTCTGTGGCTACTCTCCTATATGATGATGCATCAGATACCATGCCAGCCATCCTTGGTCCCTGTCCCAGAGTTTCAGGTTCAGTAGGAGGAAGTTGAGCCCAATAATTTGCATTTCTAATGAACCTCTCTTGCTGCTGGCAATGACAGTTTGTAAGGCAGGTTCTGGCTCTTTCTCCGGTTCTCATGCTGAATCTTGAGATCTAGGGCATCTCTAGTGTGTGCAGTACAAGCAACTGCCTCCTCCAATTACCTCGTCGCCTCATGTGTCCACATGAGCATTTGTTAAGATTGTAGACCTCAGGGTCGTTTACGCTCTTAAATATCATCCAAAAACCTTCTGTTTATTTGGGTTATGTTCATTGACACTACCACCAAACAAAGTTAGAGGAATATTTTTCATTTTTAAGGATTTCTTTAAACAGTGTGTTGGAGGCAGTTCCTCAATTGAGGTTCCTTTCTTTTGTGCCACGTTGACAGAAACGGCATATCTTAAGATGTATTGAAGAAGTCTCACGAATTGAATTTCTTGTAGGATTGAATAGAACTCAGAGCACAATATGTAATATTTTAATGAAAAGTAGTTGTGTCCTCCACAACAAAGAAAGTGAAGAATGGTCGTTGGCTTGCTCTGTCTATTCTCTGACTCCCTCTGATAGCTAACTGAATTGGGGTCAGATGGATCTTCACAGCACCTTTGGAGTTCACTGGCGTGTTTTGATAGAAGTATGTAAAGAAATGGTGATTTCAGACATTTGTACAGTTGGATGTGGAGAAGTATTTATGGCCTTTTTCAATCACTGTGAGGTTTCCTTCTCTGGATCTACATCCGAACTGCCCACTATATGGTAATGTATCAAAGACTCGTTGTGAGGTAGCACCTGAAATGATGTCCACATACTGGCTACACTCCATGTGAGCCAACTGGCCCACCTCCAGGACTCTTTTGTGTGCCATCTTGCAGCATCCTGTGCTTGTCATTTGGAGAGACTGGTCCATGAGTGATGGCATATTTTATTGTACATGTTGGCATGATTTTATTGCACAATCAAGTTTAGTAGGCTGTATAGCCAAGGGTATAGGACTCAATAAAAGTACTCTTCATTGTAACATGAAGTGTGTTCTCATGAGGCTGTGCTCTCCTTAAGTGTGCAAATAGCAGTTTCCTGACAGAATTTTTTTTTTATGTCCAGTCACCAGCAGTTTTTTCTCCCATTGCCTTTAAACTATGGAGGCAATGAGGACAAAAAGGAACAAGGCCTTTCAATATGACAACGAAAACACTTTTCACTTTGTAAATCACCCAAATAAAAAAAATCAGGGATCCTTAAGGGTTTGTAGATTACAGTATGAGAGCTGATTGCTCATGGCATAGGAATTTGTATATTGTGCATATGTGTGTGTGTAGGAGAAGGGTTGTGTGTATGTAGGGGTGTGTGTGTGTGTGTGTGTGTGTGTATGTGTGTGTGTGCAGAGTTCTGATGACAACTTTCGGTGTTGGCTCATTCCCAGAGCCTCCTATTCTTTGTTTGAGATAGGGTGTCTCACTGTCCTGGAACATCAGACCAGAGGGCTAGGGAGCCTCGGGAATCATTTATTTCTATTTCCCATACTGAGATTACAACCGTGAGCCACCACGTCCAACTTTTTATGTGGGTTCTGAGGATCTGATCTTAGGTTCTCATGCTTGAGGAAAACAAGCACTTTACTGACATGTCATCTCCCTAGGCCCCTCATGGCGTACCTTTAGTAACAATTTCTAGTATTTTTATTTGTGTGTTGGCAAGTTGTGTTCCTCACGTTGTATAGCAATAGCTTTTAATTTCCATGGAGCATTGATGCTGGATCCAGTCATTCCAGTCCAAACTGTATGTGCAAATTGCTGCTGTCCCCACAGCATCTCTGGATGCTTCCAAGAATTAGAAAGACAAGATGCAGAATTCCACAGTCAAATTAAGGTAGTATAAAACCAAGGGAACTCTGAAGGAGGAGTAGAAAGTCACACTGAAAGATGGGTGGAGGACACACGGTAAAGTGCCAGTCTTTGACTTTAGAAATAATTCTGGGTAAAGTGGGGATCATCAGTAGTTTTGGGTTAGAGAATGGTGAGTGATGTCTACAGTTGCTGGGAGCTAGTGACCCACACAGCATAACACACACACACACACACATACACACACTGAAACCTTAGATGCAAATCCACAAGACAGGAAAGCAAGTCACTGATGCAGAAACCTAGGGAACATTTGCTAGGGGTGAAGGGTTATAAGAGACCTGTATCCCCTCCAACAGATTCTGTCATGGAGGTGTCAAAAATATCAGACATGACCAAGCTCCACCAGGCTGTGGCTGCAGGGGACTGCAATTCAGTGAAGAAGATTTTGAAGAAAGGTCTCTGTGATCCAAACTACAAGGATGTAGACTGGAACGACAGGACCCCACTTCACTGGGCTGCGATCAGAGGTGAGTGGACAGTGCCTCTGTAGACCAGTGCCTAGTCCACTTTCCTGAGGCCATCAGCTGGTGTCAGAAAGTATGATGGATGTTTCTTTGGTACTAGATAGAACATTTCAGCCCTGGCATTAACCCTTACTAGTGCTAGCATCTGGACCATATTATTTAATGGTTTGGGCTCCCTTTTAATTCTTCTATATAATGGAGGCAGTCATGCTACACTGGGGGTCTTTGAAAGGGAGTTAGATAGTGTGTACAAAGATGAGACTATAGATGTTCTCCTATCAGTCCTCTGCCATCATGACTTCAAAAATGGAGTAGATGAAGATGAATCCTCGCCTCCTCCCAACACATCCCAGTTATACAACAGGAGGTTAGTAACAAAAGTCTTTGTATATTGGAGCTGGAGAGATGGCTCAGTCGTTAGGAGTGATTGTTGCTTCTATAAGGACCAGAGATTGATTCCCATTGCCCACATCCACCTATAACTCCAGCTCCAGGAGAATCAACATATTCTGCCTCTGGGTCACCTGCACATATGTGCATTATGTATGCATGTGCATAAACACTGTCATGGTTTGACTATGCTTGACCCAAGGAGTGGCACTATGTGTAGGTGTGGCCTTGTTGGAATAGGTGTGTCACTGTGGGTGTGGGCTTTAAGACCCTCACCATAGCTGCCTAGAAGTCAGCATTCTGCTAGCAGCCTTCAGATGAAGATATAGAACTCTCAGCTCTGCCATGCCTGCCTGGATGCTGCCATGCTCCCACCTTGATGATAATGGACTGAACCTCTGAACCTGTAAGCCAGCAAAATTAAATGTTGACCTTTATAAGACTTGCATTGGTCATGGTGTCTGCGAGCAGAAGTAAGACACTAACTGTTGGGAGCCAAGTCCTAGCAGAAAGCGGCTGTCATCTTTGCAGCCATCTCGAGCCATATACCCTGACAAGAGACTTGTTTTCAACAGCCCACAACAGCTGAGCACACTCTGATAAACATCTTGTTTCTCTCACATATCCTGTTTTGCTGTTTAGTGCTCTCACCTGCTAGGCACATGTGGTATCTGCGCTGGAAGGCAAGTGATGTAGTGCCTTCAGCTGTGCTTGTCCACGAGGGCAAGGCACATGGTAAAGGGTATAAATACCCAGGATTTCCTTTCAATAAACGAGACTTGATCAGACTCTGTCTTGTCGCCATTCTTCTCACCCCTCCATCCCCACTCTCTCTCTTGCCAGTAGCTCGGGTCGGGACAACTAAGACAGGCACCTAAACAACACACACACACACACACACACACACACACACACACACACACACACATACACACACACATTTAAAGTCTTTAGTAATAAACACCACCAAAAACCCGTTAAGAAAAGTATTATAGTCAACTTTGCTCTCCATATTTGACTTCTCTCTTGTGGGGAGAAAGACAAGGCAGAAAGTAGGACCAGCTTCTAAAGACTTAGGTTGGGACATTTTTGCAGAAATATAAGTAGGAAGCGCTGGTAGCTATACCAGATGACATCTTAGGAAACATGTGCTGTATTTTGGGCATTGTTCTAGGTGCTTCATGTCTGGGAATTCATCCATACTCCTCAAGGATTTGGTGAGACCAGTGATAAAAACCCTACTTTACAAATGAGGAATGAGGGCATAGTGCATAAGACATTTGTTTCCTGCCCTTCCTTTCCTCCTCCTCCTCCTCCTCCTCCTCCTCCTCTTCTTCCTCCTCCTCCTCCTCCTCCTCCTCCTCCTCCTCCTCCTCTTTTTAGAGACAGGATTTCTCTGTGTAGCCCTGGCTGTCTAGACACTTGCTCCATAGACCAGGCTGGTCACAAACTCAGAGATCTACTTGTCTGTGCCCCCAAGTGCTTGGATTAAGAGTATATACCACCACCATGTGCCCAGGCATTTGTTTCTTATCCATGTATCATTTAATGGTGATTGATGCTGTCAGAATATGACTCCACATGTCTGATTAGAAAACCTGTGCTCTTAAACTGTGTCAGGTATATCCTAAGAGTGTTCAAACTGCTGACTGTAATTATTTTCATAGGGGTGTGTATGTATATGATGAGTATGTGTTTGTGTGCATGTGTGTTTCTCTCTATGTGTGTTTGTGTGCATGTGCTTGTATGCATGTCTCTCTGTCTCTATGTTTCTCTCTCTCTCTCTCTCTCTCTCTCACTTCACTCTCACTCTCTCGCTCCCCCCCCCCCCGTGTGTGTGTGTGTGTGTGTACACCATGGTGTACATATGAAAGACAGAGGACAACTTTCAGGAGTTGGTTCTCTTCTACTTTGTAGAAGTTCTAGCTCAAGTCACCAGGCTTGCATAACGAGCTGTCTCACCAACCCATGTCTTAAAATATATCTTTTAGTTAAAATTACTTATTTTTAATGTTTTATTGTACCTTTATTATTTAAAAAACTTTTAAATTTAAAAACATTTTGATCATAGTCTTTCCCGCCCTCAGGTCCTTCCAGATCCTCTCCTCCTCCCTACTACCCAACTTCAAGTTCTTTCTCAAAAAAAAATCAATACAATAACAACTACCCCCCAAATCAAGAAAACAAATAAAATCATATCTAGAGATAAAAAAACAAAACCACCAAACTGTAGCTGAATAAAAATGTGCACGCATGCGCACATGCACACACACCCCTCCAAAACAAAACAAAAACAAAACAACGACAAACCCTACAGAGTGCTATATTTGGTGGTTGACTACTCCCGAACATGAGGCCTGTCCTGGAGTGGTTGATATACTCAGTGTCCTATTGAAGAAAACTGATTTTCCCTTCCCTGAAGGAATAAGTGACAGTTCAGCTGTTAACCTTTACCCTAGTAGCTAGATTTTCATTCATTCATTCATTCATTCATTCATTCATTCGTTCATTCATTCATTCATTAAAATAAAATATAATAAAACAAAACTATCACATTGAGGTTGGACAAGACAAACCAGCAGAAGGAAAAGAGCCAAGAGAAGGCACAAGAGTCACTTGTTAGTACACTCAGGGATCCCATAAAAGCACTCAATTGAAAGCCATAATATGCATGCAGGGGACCTGGTCCAGCCATGTAGGCTTCTGCATGCTGCTTCAGACTCAGTGAGTTCTTATGAGCTTTGTTCATCCAGACGTAGATGTGTCTTCCATCCCCTCTGGCTCTTACACTCTCTCTGCCTCCTTTTCTGCCGGGTTTCCTGACCTAGTAGGGAAGGGATTTGACGGTGACATCCCAGTTAAGGTTGAGTGTTCCAAAGTCTCTCTCAGTCTCTGAGTAATATCCGTGGGTCTGTATTTGTTCCCATCTGCTCCAGGAGGAAGCTTCTCTGATGATGGCTGATCAAGAGACTTACCTAGGAGTATAGAAGAATATCATTAGGAATCTTTATCAGTACATTTTTCTTTCTTATTTTAGACTAATATTAATGAGTTTTTCCCTAGGTCCCTGGGCTATCTAGTCTCAGGTTCTTGGCCACCCAAGCAATGTTGGGTATGGGTTCCATCCCATGGAGTGAGCCTGAAGTCAAATCAATTATTGGTTGGTTACAAGCTTTGTGTCACCATTGTCTTAGCATGTCCTGCAGACAGGGCACTCTTGTAGATAAAGGGTTTGTGGCTGGCTTGGTGTGTGAAGAGTAACTCCCTGTACCAAAGATGCTGAAGCATAGGGGTGTAGGCTCTGTGTAGGCACTGGTCCATCATCTCCATCTTTAAGGAGTTGTGCAGGTGTTGTCTTCAACAAAGTGGTCTTGCTGTCAGTGTGTGGAGAGTAACCTATACTATTGGCAACAGCCTGAGTTGTTTGAGGATTTCATGGGATCCCTTTGCCCAAGAGTTCAATTCAGTTAACCTAATCCTGATACTGGAAGTTTTGTTTGGTGACAAGAGATGGCCAGTTGGGTCTCTGACTCCTCCACTGTTTGGCAGTTTGGCAGTCTCATTTAGATTGTGTGTGTGTGTGTGTGTGTGTGTGTGTGTACACATTTCTACTGTATTAGGTTTCTATACTACTACTCAAAATATCTCTTAATTTTATATGTGTCTTCCTGTATCCCTCTCACAACCCTCCTTCCTTACTCCCCACTTGGCTCTCCCAGTTCAGCCCTTCACATGCATTCATAACTATCTATTCTATTTCCTAATGAGATCTGTTGGTACCCTCTAGTATATTACTCCATAGCTAACCTCTGGTTCTACAGATTATAGTTTGATTGTCACTGATTTCACAGTTGATATTCACATCTAAGTGAATACATACTATATTTGCCTTTGTGAGTCTGGGATAGCCCACTCAGGATGACTTTTCTAGTTCCATCCATTTGCATGCATATTTCAAGATGTCATTATTTTAATAGCTCAGTAATATTCATCCATTTTTCTTTTGAGGGACATCTAGGTTGTTTCCAACTTCTGGCTATTATGAGTAGGGCAGAAAGTTCAGTAACCATTTAAGGTACAGAATAATTTCAGAGTCAAACTTCAAAACTTAACTAGACACACTCTCAAAATAAAAAGTAATGAGAGTCGGGAATATAATTCAGTATTAGAGTCCACGCATAGGGCATGTGGGGGCCCTAGCTTCAATCCCAAAATTCTACAAAATAAATAACTAAACCAAACAATTGCCATTGCAGAAGTAGCAGTGATTGCTCGTGCATAGCTGGGAGGGAGTTGAAAAGAAAGAATACAGAAAGTTCATATAGGGCTTGGGTCTCTATAGAATAAGGATGGGGAATAAGGAAGAAAAAGAGAAGGGAGAGGCATGATGCTAATGAGGCAGAGGTGCCTCAAATGCTAGTTGCCTCCTGCTTCTATGCTCCTTAGGCTGCTTCTGGTCTCAGGCCACTAAGGACATTTTAACCTTTGTCTTCTCTCTCCATGCTATATATCTAAGGGCAAATGGAGGTGCTCCATCTCCTGATACAATATGGAGCGAGACCCTGCTTGGTAACTGATGTGGGGTGGACGCCGGCTCACTTTGCAGCTGAGTCAGGACATCTGAATGTACTCAAAGCTCTGCATGCACTTCACGCCGCCATTGATGCTGCCGACTTCTTTGGAGACACGCCCAAGAGGATTGCACAGATCTATGGTCAGAAAGACTGTGTGAACTTCCTGGAGATGTAAGTACTGAGTTGTCCCAGCTACAGGAAAGAGCCTGCTACCAGGGGTTTGTCAATTGACCAATCTCAGGAAAATTAAAGCGAAACAAAAAGATCTAACCCCGTGGTTCCCAACCTTCCTAAGGCTGTGACCCTATATTTTCTTTTTTAAAGATTTATTTTATGTGAGTACACTGTTGCTGTCTTCAGACACACCAGAAGAGGGCATCAGATCCCATTATAGATGGTTGTGAGCTACCATGTGGTTACTGGTAATTGAACTCAGGACCTCTGGAAGAGCAATCAGTGCTCTTAACTGCTGAGCCATCTCTCCAACCCAATGTGTAGCTCAGACTGGCCTTCAACTCTGATCCTTCTGCCTCTCCCTCCTTCAGCAAATCCTACTGGCATGTGCCACCACAACTGGCACTGTGACCCTTTAATACAGTTTTTTTTGTGCTGTGGTAAACCCCAATTATTATTTTGTGCTGTGGTAAACCCCAATTATTCCATTGCTACTTCGTGACTATAAGTTTGCTATTGTTTTAAATCATAATGCCAATATCTGATATGTAACTCCAAAGGGGTCATGGCCCATAGGTTGAGAACTCCTGAACCATTTGACTGGTATCATAATTTTTTTTTGCTCGTTTGGTTGGTTGGTTGGGTTTTTTGTTTTTTGTTTTTCAGATCATTTATTTTTACTTTATATGTATAACTGCATGTATGCATATGTACTGTGAGGTCAAGAAATGGTGCCATATCCCCTTGGAACTAGAGCTACCAACTGCTGTAAGCAGCTCTGTGAGTGCTAGAAACACAACTCAGGGTCCTCTGCAGAAAAAGAGCCTGTGCTCTTAACACCCGAGCCATCTTCCTAGCCCCTGTGATACATTTAACGTTGATTTTCATTTTTCTTTTTTATCAGAATGACAAGCTGAGGGTGAAAAGTACGTTACTCCTTTGCTTTAGAGCGTACAAGAATTACCTCTGATGAGAGCGGGACACTGAGTTTGAGGATGTGACTTGGCCTAAGCTTCATGGCCACCCTCAGGTTTCTGAAAAGTACTTGAGCTAGTCGTGTGACTTTGTTGTACAAGTTAAAACTAGCTTCCTGACCCTCAGTTTCCTCATACTTACTGAGCTGCAGAGATGGTTCAGTCAGTGAGGTGCTTACCACACAATCAAGAAGACCTGAGTCTGGCTCCTCAGCAATGCAAAGTAGTCAAAGTACCCAGTAACTCCAGTTTGAGAGTTCAGACAGAAGGATCTCAGGGGCTTGCCGGGCAGCCAATTCAGACAAAACTGCAAGCTGTAAGTTCAGCGGGAGATCCCATCTCAAAATATAAAGAGGAAGATACACTACATTGACCTCTGACCTCCACATGTACATGTGTGCACATGTACTCCTTAGCACAGAAGCACATACATGTAACACACACATACACACACACATGCATGTGTGTACAAACACACGTATACAACGTGAGGCAGATGAATTAGACTTCTGTTCTTTTTTTGTTTGTTTATGAAGGTTTAATTTTTATTTTTTGTATTTTCTTTTTTCCATTAATTTGTTTATTCACTTTACAATCCATTCACAGCCCCCCTTCTTCTCCCAGTACTCCATTATTTAGTCCCTCCTCCCCATCCCGTTCCCTTCTTCCTCTGAGAAGGGGGAGACACCCCTGGGTACCAACACACCCTGGCACATCGCAGACTTCTGTTCTTTAAGACCCATGTCCATTTACCTGTGACTCCTCTAGCCAACTAGGACTTGTCAACTATTCATTCATTTATTACTTAAGTCAAGAAGTTTGGGTATAATTAAGTGCAAAACCTGCTCTTTGCAGTTATAGCCTTGTGAGGAATGGAAATAAAATTTATGAATCCATAATTTGGTTGGATCAACAAGTGATGCATACAAGAAAAAGTTAAATAGCCTGATCTAAATTTTGTGGCTTGTAATGGAAGACAAGACAGACAGAAAAGCTCGAAGCAATTCCAGTTGATGTAGAGGACAGAGACAGCGGGTTGTCTTGTATGAACTTCAAAATACAGTCATCGTCAGAACATTCAACACACCCAGGATTGTGGCTTAGGCCTACAATACCAGATTCTTAGGAGGCTGACACAGATAGTTTGTAAATGTAAGTCCAGACCTGTTTAGGCTACAGAGTGAGTTCAAGGCCAGTCTGGGAAAATTAGTGAGACTGTCTCAAAGAAACAATAAAATGTGACTGGGCAGGCAGTGGTGGCGCACGCCTTTAATACCAGCACTTACTCGGGAGGCAGAGGCAGGTGGATCTGTGAGTTCAAGGCCAGCCTGGTCTACAGAGTGAGTTCTAGGACAGCCAGGGCTATATCAAGAAACCCTATACAAACAAACAACAAACAAACAAAACAACAAACAAAACAAAAATAAACAAACAAAAAAACCCAAAACCTCCCAACCAGTGTAACTGAGGGGTGGAATACATGCTTAACACATGTGAGGCCCTGAGTTCAATCTTTGGCACTGCCATCCCCCAAAATAGTTAAACTAGTAAAACCATTGTCTAGGGTGTGATTGGCTATCTATAGAAGTAACTCAAGAGAAAACTCTCTCTCTCTCTCTCTCTCTCTCTCTCTCTGTGTGTGTGTGTGTGTGTGTGTGTATGTGCGTGTGTTTAAGGGTCTCACTATATAGCCCAGCTTGGTCTTCAATTCACGATACCCCTATCTCAGTTTCCCAAGTGCTAGGATTACAGACAGGTACCTCATGCCCAGTTCCTTAGTATTTATCCTTGCGAGCCTTTCAGATGCTGGAATTCCTGAGTCTTGTCCTTGGCTTTCTATTGATCCTCCCTAATCCCCACCATTCAGCAATCTTAGCCCTTCCTCAGCGAGAATGACATTTGTCCTGAGCATAACCAAAATGGAGTGGGAACTGCCAGAGAAAGTACGCAGGCAATGCTAAGCAGACACAAACTTGAGTCAGCTGCATCACGTGTGGATTCACATCTGCTTATCACTTCCCACCTGATATTCGAGAATTCAGAGGGATGAATTATGGATGAAGGTGTAATTAGTGTGGTCGTGTAGATAGCAAAGATCAGGCAGAAGGAAGAGAGAGAAAAACCTCTCAATGTGGGTATAGCTGCCACGTTGGAAATGTACATAGGTCAGATGTGCAAGAGAAGAGGTGGAGAGAGCATGGAAGCGTGAAGGCTCTGGCCAATCCGGTGCTCACAGCCATCAGACTTGCAGGCTAAAGCGGGTAGGTGAGGGAGTGTAGTTAGGGGAAGAAGTCAGTGCTGAACTCGTCATAGGATGGATGAGCTGAAACAGGCAGTGTAGTAAAGTTGCTCACACACAATACAGGATGTGGCTGCCTGTAGTGGGGTTAGAGACTTTGTAACCCTAGGCAAGACCAGAGGCTATCTTCGCAGTTTACATTGTGTGGAAGTGAACACCTAAGCTGTTCCTAACTAATTTATTTACACACACAGTGCATGCAATTAGCATTTTCTTTTTTCATGTTTCAGTACCTTAAATTCATTTGAGCCATTGATTGATTGAGACAGGGTTTCACTCTGTAGCTCAGGCTGGCCTGGAACTCACTATACATCAGAGGCTGGCCTTGAACCTGCAGCAATCTTCCTGCTTTACTCTCCTGGGTGCTGGAACTGCACACGTGCCTGGCTATACTTTAAAATGTTAAACAATGAACATGTGTCCCTTTTATAATCAGGAGAATAGAAAGAAATGCAACAGCTTCCCTGATAACATGATGATTGTTCTGGAAATCTGAGCATTTTAAGAATGAGCAGCCCCTCCTTCCAGCCGTCTTTGACTCTGAGATTCATCACACCCAGGCCACATACTAGCTTTTCCTCTTCAGGTAGTTTCTCTGGTATCTGAGACCTTCTAAACTTTAAAAGGTTTAGAATCTAGAGTGCTCGTTGACATGTGTGAACTTAGCCTCCTTCCTTTTCAATTAAACTGTGAATGGCCTGTGCTGTGGGTAGCCCTCAGGAAGAGAGGTCCGGGCCAAGGCTGGCCAGGCTTCTCCTTTCGCCCTCACAGGCTGCTCTCTTCGCAGGGCGGAATGCGAATGCAGGGACCACCGCCAGAGAGGGCTGTTGTTTGATGAGCGGGATCCAGATTGGGACCTCAAGAAAAGGGAGCTAGAGCTGTCCCTTCCAGCTCCGGAGCAAAACACCAACAAAAAGAAGAAGAGAACCGGAGGATCCACCAGACTTAACCATTCCAACCCCTGGAGGGTATGAGAAGGCGGAGCCCCAGGGCTTAGACTGGAGCCAGATGGAATACTCAGAGGTCTTCCCAGGATTTGACTCAGCCACCCTTCCTCAGGCTTCCACAGAAAGTCCCAGCCAGTCATTCAGTCCGAAAGTCTTTGGAGAGTGTTCTCTATAGGACCCGATGTATCCTTGATAACGATGCCCAGAAGCGCGACCCGGAGGGGCACACGTAGCTGACAGACGTCTGTTTGCCGTTTTGTTTCTGTAACTTGCAGTGTCAGCATGCCCCGCCCCTCACCCTCACCAACAAGCACAGTTACAGAACGTTCAAGATCAAAGTGAGAGCTCTTCTAATTCAGTTGATTAGACTGGGGCAAAAATGAAATAAGCATAAAGAAAAACAAAAATCTAAAACCTCCCAACATGACTGAGTCAATCTATAAATAATTTTTTTTTCTCCTGTGGGAGCCCACAGTCCCAGCGCTGAAGGTTTTACCCATGATCACCACCCAGCTAGGAGCGATGGTCTGGGCAATGCGTCCACTCAATGAGAGAAAACAAAAGAAAAACCTGGCTGGAAAGGAATCTGTTCCACATATCGACGAACATCAGCAGAAAATGGTGAACTGTGGCCTTGTTGCTCTAGTTTTTCAATGGTAGATTTTATAAAAGTTAGAGCAGATATTCCAAGAAAAATATAGCGTCTAAGCTGAGACATTAAAAACATATTGAAGCTTTGAAAACTGCACAAGAAAACGTTAAATGCCTTCTTAGCTACTTTTAATATTGATTTGCTGCAATATGACAGATGTTTTAGTGCTAAGTAAAATAGACTATTGAAATTAATTTTAGCACTTTCTACTTTTTATTTTATTTCCTTTTAAGTACGAGAAGACTTTGTAGAGTGAGTGTTTTTGTATTTATATATCACATTGATTATTTTGGGGAGGCATATGGACATGCCACATTTTGTGTGTGTGTGTGTGTGTGTGTGTGTGGTGTGTGGTGTGTGTGTGTGTGGTGTGTGTGTGTGTGTGGTGTGTGGTGTGTGTGTGTGTGGTGTGTGTGTGTGTGTGGTGTGTGTGTGTGTGTGTGTGTGTGTTGATATAAACGTCTCTTTCAGGGCTAAGCACTTAACAGTCATTTCTTTTCACTACCCTGGCCCAC